TTTCACATGTAGATGGCACACAAATTACATGGTTTGAACCTCTTCCAGTTGAAACAGCAAGAAGTGCAAGTGATATGTTTGCCCCAAACGTTTCACGACATTATGATGGGCAAGCTGCTACACTTCTGTGGAACCTTAGTCTTTCTCAAGATCTAAGTCTCCTTTCAGTGGACATTTATTTCAATTCTGATATTATTGTGAAACTTTTGCCAAATGGAGGAAGTGGTGAGATAGCTGCTGCATTCCGGGACCGCTTCCGTGTGAATTGGAATCCCCCTGGAAGAGTTGCTTTGGTTATTTCTAAGGTTACAAGTGCTGATGATAAGGTGAACGGAACATTTAGCTGTGTGGTGAGCACTTTAAGTAATGGGAACTGGAGACGTAGAATTCAAGTGGAAGTTGTAGGTGAGGAAAATTGCCACAAAGTATTGCACTATGGGCATGTGGTGGTAAAATAAAGAGCTTTTACATGTACATCATCATTAACCACTTATGCACCTTCAAATTTTGTACATGCACTTCCAGTAATCTAAATTTCTTTGCATTCTAATGCCTCAGATACCTCCATGCAGGTTTCACAATTTCTTTAGTTTACATATGAGGCAGAGATCATTGTTGTGAGGATAGTCAGAAAGCTTGTCCTGAATATATGATACAAAACAATGTACTTGCGAGCCAATATTTCTATTTTTCTTTTAAATGCATAGAAGAGTAAAATTTTTGAGCCTTGATTTTTAGAAATGTTACTACCCTGAATATATTTATATTATTACCATCCGGAAGATCTGTATGGTGGTAAAACTGCAACCAAGGCCTTTATGCTGTGAAGCGCAACATTTTCACGTCCAAGGCTACACTCGATATGTCGCCTTTGGCATTTTTTTTTACAGCGAAAACCATGGGATATTTATTTTCCTTTCTGATCAATCAATGCTAACTTCCAAATTCTTCAAAATAGCTTGTTTTGTGTAGTAGGTTAAGGAAGTTCTTGGTTTGAGTTTTACTATAAGTATATTTTTGAAAAGTTTTGGAGTCCCATGAATTCTTACATTTCTACCAAGAACTGCACAACAGAAACCAAAGAAAACTAAAGCAAATGAAGGATTCATTAAGCCTATCCATCCAAGAAATTTAGTTTCATATTTTGAGTGACCTTGACTTTACGTGAAATTTTGTGTCTTTGAGAGCTAAAGTGCGCATAAAACCAGTTTTCGAATGCTTGTCTTGAAATCACTTCTTGTAGGAGTTGGACAGCGTAAGTCATAGTTAATCTTAGTGCTATGTTCGTTTTCCTTCTCGTTCTGTTCGGTCATTGGGTATTACTTAACCGCAGATTAGCAGACCGCGGAACCTCTGAAACTAGCGGAACCTTTGGAAACGGTGGTACCCTTATTTCTTGAAAAAATAAAAAGAAGGAATTGAGTTGGAAAAATTTTCAAAATCACGTTAGTTGATCAGTGGTGGACTGTTCTGAAACAGAGAAGCATGATAGCCAACTGTCATTTCAAAATCCTGAAATCTGTGTTAGTTGTGTTTTAGATGAATGGATTCAGCTTCAGGACAAACCACGTGTCACCAACATTGGAATCGTTTTTATGTTAAAATCTAACACACCATACCAAAGTTATACAAACGGATAATCAAAAGGACTATATCGTACCTACAATGAGCTCATTTTGCGCACGATTTTGTTGCACGCTTTTTACCATAGGCTTTTCGCGTGCATTATGGGCCGTTTACATTCAAGCTGTATCATTCTGTTTAATTTACCACCTGGAATGACGATGGGGACTAAACATTACGAACATTTTCTTCATCTCACTTGAACACATTTGGATGTATTCCAAAGAGAAGTATTGCAAAAGGTTTAAGTGTTTCCGAGTTGGCTGAAAGTTTCGAGTATCGCAGCAGATACTCGCATGTACATAATGAAATTTGCCGGGTAGGCCTCACATTTACAAGTAACATTGCATTTACATTTTACAGATGGTTTAGATGTATTTATTTGTTTGAAAAATTGAAACAATGTCACGTGGAGTCATTTTATTTTACTTCGTGCAGGAAATTGAAAGCTTAACTGAAAGTACTGAGCTAAGGCTTTTGGATCCAGAAAGATATTCTTCAACGAAACAAAGAGCCCACTGGATAAACTAACTTTTTTTTAAAATCAGGGATTTTTTTCTCATCTTATGTTTAGTGGGTAAATTTCATAATGATTTTTTTCCACCCGTGTTTAAAATATTGCATTCATGTATTGGCGTGTACTCACCCTCTCATACTGATAAAATCAAGGGACGGTCTTCCTATGTTTTGCACATTTATTTCATATGTGAAGTAAGTGCATTTGGAAAGCATACGAAGAGCCTTTATCTGTTTTACACAGTCCTTAAACGTGCTTTAAATATATTAGTTATTGTAGCATATGTAAGATTATTTGATTGCCCTTAGCTCCAGTAACAACCCCTGAAATTGGAGGTGAACGAACTGTTCGCGAAGGCGGTAGCCTACAGTTAACCTGTGAAGCTTCGGGTAAACCAGATCCAAACATCACTTGGACCCGAGGCAATCCAGGGAACCAAGGAAATATTGGTGTGAAGCAAGCAGGAAAGGTGCTGACCATACCAATAGTTAGCAGGAATGACTCCGGAACATTCACCTGTACAGCACATAATGGTATTGGTGAACCAAAAAGCCAAGCAGTTTATGTCAATGTTACTTGTGAGTATGCAATGAGAAAACCTCAACTAATGTAAATCAGAGATCCAATTCGTATTGGTCTTTAGCGTTGAAAAATGTGCTCTCATTTACTTGTATTGTTGTTTGGCTTAGTAGATGTACTTCCTTGTTCCAAAAGGTGTTTGTCCGCCTCTTTCAATGTTAACTCCTCTTAAAGTTAAGGTTAGAATGTTTTGTGAGGAAGCTCTAGTGCTCCTTTGTGTGTGGTTGTGATTATGGAAGAGTAACATAAAACACAAGTCTGTCAGCAGATATGAGGTCAATACTAATCCAACTAATACTAAGGGTAAGGATCAATGATTTTCCCTTTTCAATGTTAGTGACTCCGTGTGTGTCTATGTTTGGTGAGGCAACCAAAGTAAAGCAACTTTCTGGAGACTCCACATGAGATTTCTCTCGATTTCTTTTTAAAAAGCTTTTTCTTCAAAACTTAGGGTGCGGCTCATCTGCAGGTGAGGCTTACATGCCGGTCATTATGATATCTGACTAGATCTTTTCTTAAAGATTGGAAATATCACGTCTTTAGTTTTCGTAGAGTGAAGGGATGAGATTGATGATTTAATTGACTAATTTAAAACGAGTATAAAAATGGCAAGAGAATGGCAGTTCACATCCAGACAAAAGAAATTTTATGGGAACCTCACATTGTCGTAGGAGTGCTTTTTGCAGAAACTTTCAATTTTTAATTTAATTCAGTTACAGAACAACTAACTACGTGTAGAAGAAGAGCAGCCCTTGAATGTATCGCACAGTTACAGTTAGACCTCTCAGCCACTGAAGACGATTCACCCAGTACATGTTTGTGAAAATGTTGTTGTTTTATCCGACTCTTAATGTCATTTTAATGTACAGATCCAGCCAAAATTGTTAAATTTCAAGACGAGTATATTGTTGAACTACAACAAAGTGTAACTCTTAGCTGTGAAGCCGAAGGGAACCCTCCACCAACTTACACTTGGTTTCCATGCGGCTTCAAACAAGTTTGTGACAAGAATACTCTTAATATTTCAAGAGTCCTTGCAGATGCCAACTATACCTGCAGAGTGGCCAATGCCCTTGGTTCCGATTCAAAATCTGCCGATGTCTGTAAGTTGCAAAAGTGTTGTCATGCATATTAAAGCAGTTCTGTTCTAGCTGCAAATAAAGCAGCGCAGCAATTTAAACTCCAGGTGGCGAGCGAGGGTGTGGTAAGTAGGGCATTAAAAAATCTGCCAGTTGTCATTTGTAAGCAAACGGTAAGCTTGCTATGATCAATTATTTTTCCCTGTGTGTTACTTCAGCTTAAGAAAGTTTTTCAAACTTTTAACACAGGGTTCAAGTGCTCTTTTTATGTCAAAAAGCCCACATGAAGTTCTTCTAACAAGGCGATTACAGAAAGCAGCCGACTTCTCAATTTTCTCTTCGGTTAAATAACCCAGGTCTTCTGATAGGGTGCGATACAAAATGTAAATTGTGCGATTTTTTTTTCAGCAAATTGTGGAGTAAAAATCGGTGATTGTGCAATTTTTATCTTTGCATATTGTGCAATTTTTTTCTGTGCTATTGTAAGCTTGTTTTATCAGGTTTTAAGGACAAAAACTTCTTTTTTCACTCTACGGAAGACGTGAAAGCCATCTTCTAAGTTTACTTTCTGAACTTGTGCAGATATTTTCCAATTTAAACCGTTTTTAGCGTGTGCGCTTCAACCAGGAAACCATCTTGGACGCGCGGCTAAGGTCTGGGTTGGGTTACCCGACCCAGAGAATGGCCATGCGCTTAAATATGGCGTCTATGTTACGAACGCCTCGCGTATTTAGATCAAAAGTGAGTTTCTAGTGAGAAACTCTTAGAAAATGAAAAACTAGTGCCGGACCCCTATGGGGCTATGGGGCGCCGTTTGTAAATTTATTATTTATTTCGCTTTTGGTCGTTTTTTACGTGACATGTTCTTTTATTTAGATCCATCGGTTATTTAATAAAACCAATCGTGTGTTATTTTGGCTATTTGATATAACCAATGTTGCGTTATTTGGTTATTTGATAAAACCAATCTTGCGTTATTTGGTTATTTGATATAACCAATATTGCATTATTTGGTTATTTGATTAAACCAATCTTGCGTTAACGTATGTGGTTATTTGATATAAACAACGTTGCGTTATTTGTTTATTTGATAAAACCAATCATGTGTTATGGGGTTATTTGTATAACCAATGTTGCGCTATTTGGTTATTTGATAAAACCAATCTTGTGTTCGTCGGTTATTTATTCCATGTAGATTTGACGTGGCAGGGATGGGTTCTTTTTTGTCCTCCCCTCGGAATATGTAAATCAGACGCATTCTCCTTGCGAACTGATCAAAGTCACGCAATAGTTGTTGTCTGATCTGGTTTTGTTTTGTAATGGGTGTTGGAATGAATTTAAGCCCTCTTGCCAGTAATCTGGTCGTTTGTGAGTTCTTTATTAGAGTCTTTTATGTGCGTTTTGTTCGCCTCTATTTTGATAGTTGAACGTGTTTGGCGTCTGACTTTTCTGCACTCCCTGCGCTTGTTAGTTGCTAGTCGCTTAGCTTTTGAAATTCGCTTCTTGGCCCCGTGTTTGTATTGGGAGTCAGAGAATACACGTGTGTACTTTTCAAATCCTTTATTCTCCATTGCTCTTGCTCTTTTCATCATACTGCCGAACTGGGCGATTTGTTCCTGGAGATTAACAGCTATTTTTTTTGACTGTCTCGATCGTTACATTGTCTTGATTGCTTTCAGCTTGCGGCACGCGCGCTGATTCGATCGCACTACAGTTCTTAGTGTCGTCACGTCGTTGCATCGAGCTGCTTCAGAAAACTCGCATTGCCCGACATGCTGCACAAAACCAATCAGTGCCAAACACTGACTATGTCTGCCCAGACTGCCAACGTCATTGCCATTCACGTATAGGCTCTATCGGCCACCGCAGAAAGCATGCCACTCTCCTCAACTGATGCCTTCTGATGACCACCGCAGAAAGCATGCCACTCTCCTCAACTAATGCTTCTGAGAGAAAGGAGATCTGTCGGAACGACGGCTCAGACCACCACCACCACCACTACAGTTCTTAGTGTTCCGTGTTCCAGCCGTTTTGGCTCGTTTTCTTTATTTATTTCGGTCTTAAAACGACAGATTTTACGTTCGGTCTTCACTGTTTCTTGCTCCGCGTTGTTACTGATTTGCTCTATCTCTTTTTTGAAATTCTCGTCCTCTCTTATTTTGGCCCTCGTCCTGTATTGTAGGGATTCTGGGCAAGTTCCTTTTTCTTTGTGTCTTTGTAAAGCCTTGATCGCATTTTCGGCCTGGCTGATCTTGTTCTCTGTAGATAGGTTTTGGCTCCTTTTTCTTCTTTCCGTTTATGCAGCAATAGACCACTTTCATAAATGGCTGGCCTCGTTCTCCATTACAAAATTCAAAAGAATTCATTATCTCAAGCGAGGCCAGAAAGGCTAATTTAAATTTAAACAAAAGAATATTAATCCGGCAGCCATTTATGAAAGTAGTCAATACTGCTGGGCTAAAACTGAGCCGTTCAAGTCTTGAACTCATCAAATCTGATGACACTTTGGTTATTTCATATAACCAATGTCATGAAATTGGTTATTTGAAACAATGGCATTGGCCTCGTTCGTAAAGTCAAAAGGTTTTGAGCTGTTTAACATGTAAGATACATGTGAAACAAATAATTTTAAAGATTTCCAACACTTAAACTAAATAATGGTTTCATCGAATAAATAACCAACGAACGCAAGATTGGTTTTATCAAATAACCAAATAGCGCATCATTGGTTATACCAAATAACCAACAAACGCAGGATTGGTTTTATCAAATAACCAGATAACCACATAACGCAGGATTGGTTTTATCAAATAACCAAATAACGCAACATTGGTTACATCAGTAACCAATAGATATAATGAAATTATCATAAATAAAAGAATATACCACGTAATAAACGACCAAAAGCGAAATGAATAATAAATTTAGAAACGGCGCCCCATCGACCCCTAACATGCAACAAAGACGCATTGGGTTTCGATTGTTTTGTTTTGTTTTTTTTTTTGTTTAAGATAAAGTGTTAATTTATCGTTTACCCTGTGGAATTTTTGCAATATTCTTTGAATTATGCGATCGGATGCGATTTGAGGTTGTTTGTGCGAAATTGCGTCATCATGTTTTATCAGAAGCCCTGAAGAACCGTAGAACGGTGAAAAGTTTTCTTAAAATGCTAGTTTTCAAATGAATACCTGCATCAATAAATAACATGAGGAAATGTGTTAATAGTGTTATTTCTCCTACTTCACAGACATTGGAGGAAATATTGTTAACATAACTATGGTTATTACAAGTGAAGTATATGAAGATGAAAAATACAACCAATCCTTATTTCTGGAGAAATTGACAGAACTGGTAACTTTGCGTACATAAACTTAGATTTTTCCTACAAAGCTCTTAATTTAGTATCTTTTAGTATATGTTGGAAGGATATTTTTCTTGCAAATAAAGTGTTTCTATGTTCAATCTCATTTGATCTGTTGAATTGTTCAATAGATTGTAATTGTAACATGATTGTTGATTACTTCAATGTTACAGACCAAGGTGCTAGCCACAGGAGAATGTGTGGATAATATTTTGTTTCATTCTATTGTGTTTCTTAAATTTCTAGATTGCACTCACTCTGTCAGAGTTCTAATGGATCTTCCTGTCAAAGCGTTTCACGATCTTCTTATTATTTAGTGTTTGCTCATGCTCTGTATTCTGGGCAATTATGGCCTGGTGCTTTTTTACCCAAATTAAAATATGAAGCAGTTGACAAAAAGGTTATTGAAGCGGCACGTTAAAAGAAACGGACAGACTAATACTCATATATTGATTCTCCCCTAATTCTTGACTAAACAGTCATGTTCAATTTAAATGATTAGCACATAACATTTGGTGCCATCCTTATTTGCTTTTATGTACATGTACAATACAGGTATACGTGCGTGATACATGTGCACTTTTTGACAAATGATCGAAATATGTACTTATAGCTTAAAGAGGCTTTTGCTAGTAAACCTGGCTATGAAGGAGTGCAGTTCCTAGATGTGAGGTATGTAGATGAAAGGGATTTCAATGAATGTCAGTTGCTCTCGTTTCCATATTTTTAAATATTTCCTTCTTTTGTTATCTGTTTCCCAGTTCATGTCACTCTAACCTTCTGTTGTTGTCTTTTTCAAGGCCTGGAACTATAACTGTTGACCTTGCTCTGAAATTCAAATTTCCTACAAAGGAAAAAGATGTTATAACAACACTAAATGCTGCTCTTAAAGATGGAAAGCTAGGAGAGTTCAGTGTGAGTTCCATTAAAGGGACTAGGCATGATGTGGCAACAACATCACCAACTACAACACCAACTGACGGGTCTTCTGTGGGTAAGTCTTATAACACTTCCTCTAAAACTTTTCCAAGCTGATGAGTAAATGCCCTTGCCCTGTACTTGGTTGGAAGCATATCCATTGGTGTGAAAAATTAGTTTTTAAAAGTTATAAAAGTTAATGCAGAATTGGTACTGTCGGGGGGTTTTTACGGATGTGTGTGAAAGCTTGGTGTATAATGATAACAGTGACAACAACAGCTATGATAGTACACTTTATTTTAGTGGGGTAAACCTGATTTACAAGAAGTAATCTTCATTTTGGCCCTAAAATCTGGGAAATGAGCTAGAATAAAAAGCTATGAATAGATAGAACAGTAATAACCCTAACTGGTAGGAGGCAGACCAGTAGGTTATATACATCATTCTGCATGTAGAAAGCGCAGCCAAGGAGTTGAGCTCAAGACAAAGTGGGAACAAATCCGGCCGTGAGTAGCGGGTGGGAGGGTTGGAATTTAGAACCACTAGATTACAAGACCAACGCTCTAACCAGTCCGGTACACTGCCTCCTTGTAAGTAGTTGCCTTCTGGGAGTATTTACATGTACTGTTAAATCAGTTCTCTATTTTTCTTACATTGAGCTTTATTTTTAATTTTTTTGCCTCCACTAAAAACCGGGGTTTTTTACATCACGAGGAAACTACAAGTACTCGCAGTAGCGTTCAGTGACCTGTCTTTTACACTGCTAGAGATTGAAATGTTCTAGAGTATAAACGAATGGATGAAATTTATTTTCCTTCTGATAGCAGTGCCAAATTTCAAAAGAAGATAAAATAAATTCCACAAAATGTTAATGATTCCAGACTAAGATTAATCAGTGGAAGTAAATGTGTACCTGCCTCATTTTAGACAAAAAAGCAAATACAAAATTTTGTACTCAGTAAAGGAAACCGTCTGGTACCGTGAAGACTTTGTGAAGGAGCTAGTCAGTGTGGTTGGAAAGCATTAAGTGGTATTTGTATAATGTGCGAATGGGGGAAGGGGAAATTATGAAATACCGCTTTGCCGGTCAGTGTTCACGATTAAGAGCCACTGACCGTAAACAGAGAGAATCCGCCGACAGTTGCAAAATTTCTTCGTTCATTTAGTTTTTTCTCTGGGACCCTTTTCGTGAAGCTTTTTCGAAACTTATATCAAAAAGTTCTGTCGCGCCTTTTTTTTTTCGCCAAAAAAATCGAAGTTTAAAATACGCCGTTCAACGGATCGCATCACATATGTTTGTCGTCTCTTAGCCCGAACTCTTTTAGAGCTGGTCGCCTGTGGTGGGCCAAGAAAGAAACCTTGAGGAATTAAACTAAAAGAATAAAGCTTTAAGATGATATCATTTTGGTTTGTAAATATATCATACAAGACCTTTTTATAGGCCTTGAGAGCTGTTCAGCGGTTCGCATTGCATTTTTGACAAAATAGCCCCAACTCTTTTAAACCTGGACGTGCCGCTTAGGGCGGGCCAAGATAGAGAATTGGAATAATTAAATACACGGATAAAGCTTTAAGGCAATGTTTATCATAATTTATAAGTTTATATGGCAAACTTGTTCATAGGCCTCTGAAGTTGACCTTTATTTTACCTCCGCGAAAGAGACGGAAAGTACTTTATTTCAACGGTTCACTATTCACACTTAAACGTACAACATAATAAGAAACTAATATTTTCCAAGAGATGAAAGGATCATCTGCGGGCACACAAAATTTAAAAACGGGATTGCATCGCGTTGTAGCGTACAAAGTTGCCAAAGTTGCATAATGTTTCATTGCTTTACGAGGGGGACAACAGCCATTTAGGGGTGTTTTGATCTTTTCGATTTTTCGGAGAAAAAAAAGTAGGATAGAACGTTTTTATATAATTTCCGAAAAAGGTTCCTTAAAAGGGTCCTTTAGAAAAAGTAAAATGAATTACGAAATTTTGCAACTTTCAGCGGACTCTCGATATTTATGGTCAGTGGCCCTTAAAACTTTAAAATGTATTTGACCTAAAAACGCTAAAAAAGTATAAAAGCTAAATTTTCGGCAACGTTCTGTGTGCCTTTCATCAGAGTAAAATGATCACGTGAATAATTAATAAAGGGTTTTCTAAAGCATGTTTTCATCCCTAAGGGGCACAACAAAGGGCAAATAGGCCGAAGGGAGGGGCTGGCAGTCATTTACAGCATCGTTATTTAGGGTGGAATGTCAAGATTCTAAGAATAAGCGTTTTTGTTGTTTGCTGACGCCCCGTTCTAATGTTTCTACGTAATTAGGATGGATATCATGTCCAGTCGATTCCACGTGTTGATTCATTACCGATTCAGTGTTTCCTCTTGTACTAGGTTTGTGCTCTGCCCCCC